ATTTTTATGTTTGATGATTTTCAAAGAAAGGAACTACAATGGCACAGAACATAGAAAAGTGAAAGTAAGCACTTTCTGAAACAAAGAGCATATTGCAGTTAGGGTACGGTTAGAGTGAGCCATTTCTGTGTTCTTCTATGCAAATATTTCTCAACTTTTCAGTGCCAGATTAATTTTGTGTTTTAAATTTAAATATTGATGCCTGTAGTACAGTTTTATATTTCAGTTTCTGTTGATAAAAGTACAAAATTAAGGACTATACAGAATCTAGTTATTACCTTAGTCTTTCAGTAAAGGTTCAGTGGAAGAGTTTTTATTTTCTCTGAAACTCTAACATATACAAATTTCCTATACTCTCCTTGTAGTAGAATGAGAAGAAAAAACAAACAAACAAAAAACCCCAACCCACAAACCACAAACATTCTTTCCCCAAGTAATTTATTGCCACTTTAAGATTTTCTTATAGTGTGGCTCATGGGTGATGCCTTTATCTTTCAGTATCAGGAGGCCAACCAGGTTCTACAACTTGTCTGCTTTTCCAAGCGAGGTAATAAATGAATCGAGTCCCTTAGATGCTATGATATTATGTGATCTTTTTTGTTTGTTTGTTTTTGTTATGGTGTTCACAGTTCTAGAATAAAAATTTCCTAGAAGTGTTCGATAATAGTAATAAGTAGTGTACTGAAACTCATTAAAACTGATGGAATTTTTATGCCTGAATCGAAATGCCTACTGAAAGAAATAGATAAGAATGGAATTACACAGTAGCAATGTAACAAAAATAGAAGTTGATATAAAAGTTATTTTCACCTGTATGTTTTGGGTCAGGACTGACAAATTTCTTGTGTATGTTTAAAATAGATTTGTTCTTTTCTTCCATGTGATCTTTTAAAGAACACACATATATTCTCTTTTAACCCTTTTGCTTCACCTGTGAAACTCTCTCCTAAGACTCTGTGAAGCATCACCAATTTTTGGACAGTGAGGGAATAGCCCAGGGACTGTTTTAAGTAATGACTGTTACACAGTAGACAACTAGAAACATGCATAGAATACACCTGCTAAGTAACTGATAGTTGTTCATAAGACTGAGTTAAGATGACAAGTCTGATTTGTTAAAGGCTGTAGAAGTGAGTCATTATCAGAGACAGTATTTCTTTATATAAAAACCAGATTTGTGTATTGTTTAATAAATAGCAGTAGCTGATCTCAAAGCTGTCTTTGTTCTGTCCCTTTCTGAACTCCAACCTGTTTCTTCAAAGGAAGGCTTTGCCCCACTGAGCTTTTGCCAATGTCAATAGCAGCTGAATCCCAAATTCACTGCATTCCTTTGCAAATGCCCCCTCAAGCCTGTCCCTCTTTTCTAACATCTTGACAGGTCTGTGTAACAAATGTTAAAATAATACTAATCACATCCAACACTTACAAAATTGATAAATGAATTGTTAATCTTTATTGTCATTTTCACTTAAGTAAGACTGGAATAATGTGAAATGTGATATTTCCCCGTCTTTTTTGCATCTCTGAGTGTTCTTGGTTGTGTGTAATGATATTGGCCTATTTTCATGGGACTTGTGGCACTAGGAGCAAAGGAGGGGAGATGATTCTGGACAAAAGATGATGCAACTTTAGTTATATAGTTTATTTCTTCAATCCATCACGAATTAGAAGATCAGTTTACAGGCAGTGATAAATGGATTTCTAAGCACCTTCCTGGTGACTCTGGTGGGTTTTTTGACTCTCTCTGGAGATTACCTTTGTCCTCATCACTGAAGATAATAACCTTTCTTCACACCACTGCAGAGATGTTAAAACCCAGTAACAGCAGTCTCAGAGCACACAGAGCAGTGCTAAGTTCCCAAATGATTAAAAAAAAAAAAAAAAAAGGAGTTGGAGGGGCAGGGAGACCCTGTCCATCCAACCTCTAACCTAAAATAATCCTTTCTAAACTTCTAATGTAAAATTTACATGGATCTATCTTTATTAAACAGCATTCTCTTAACTAGTCTAAAACAGGTGCAATGTGTCATGCAATATATGTATCTTACTACCTGCCATAAAGTATTTTATGATGGCTGCATTCTGTGTTATTAGTAGCTGTCTTTTTCTGCAGCCATTGGTGTTTGATAATAGTCTTAAAACACCCGAAATTACTTACCTGCAAGCAACATTCCAGATAGTCCCTGTTGACAGTTTGAATAAGTTTAGTGCCCTTTTGTTGTACTTTACCTTCAAAACAAACTGATTGAACCATCAATAGCTCCTGAAAGCTGACAGAGGCATGTCATCTGGTCTAACCCTCTGATAGTAGGTTATCTGTGGGAGTTAACCTCCCTGCATTGTTAACTGAAATGTTTTATGTACTATGCAACTTTAGGATACTGCTGTGATAACCTTAGTAACTAAGTCATACATCACAGTAAAGAGATTTTGTGCAACAAATAACCCTGGATTAAATTTACAAGGGTTGAATTGATATTGTAAAGTGTTCATTCCAGGGCTTTGGTAATCCTTTCCTGTATTTTTTATGGCAAACTTGTGTTACATTTAGATTGAAGCTGCATCTTCATATTTCTAGCTAAAATATATCCATGAAGCCCAATGTTTTTCTTCAGCTGTTTAATAAAATAGTATAGTACTGTTTTCATGTCCTATAGATTCTGTTTATGCAACATTTAGTGAAAGAAATATGAAGAAATGGGATTGTATTTTGAGTGACCTTTTAAAAGAATTAATCACTGATATGTGATGCCTTCGTTCAGCTGGTGGGATAACCTTTATGATACTTAGTTTTTAATGTTTGGTGTACGTAAGGAGTGCAAGTCAGCCCTAAACTTGAGACTTGTGGTGTAGTTTGCTGTTTAGTTTATGTGGGTAGGGTGTTTTGGTTTTATTTTTCGTAGTGGCATGTACTGATGCTAATTCTGGTTTTTGAAGTGCAGTTGGGATGGCTTAAAACTACAAAGATACGTTTGTATCAAGGAATGCTATTATAATTTTAAACTCTTTTGAAATGTTTGAGAGACTGACATGACGGCTGTGATCCAAAGTCAGCATAGATGATGATGCTGTCTTAGTCTGTTGTCATTTTTGTTGCAGCCTGCTTTTCAATGGCATATTTCATTCCATCATTAAACATTAGCTGATTTTCTAACACTGATGTTTTCTTCACCTGAATATTCATCTTTCCTCACGCTATACTTGGTTGGTGTCTTTACTAATTTTTAGCTTCGTTCTTCTTCACTCCTGATACATTGTTTCTGTATGTACATGTTTTCAACCCTAATGTTGTCATCAGAGCTCTTCTGCCAGTAATGCAAGATGGAAAGCTTCTCCTCCCCTGGAAGATAAGGGCCAGCAAAATGCCAGGGAAGACTGGAAAGGGCAGCCAGGAGAGCTGCCAAGATGGGAGGAGTCTGGGAACGTGTCATTCTTACATCTGTACCTGTTGTTTAATAAATGGTCTTAGGACATTTTCTGTTTTGTAAAGTGATTCTCTCTTTTTCTTCTTCTAATATCACTGAAAGTCATTGGTTGAGGATTCACATTTACATTGTCTGAGCATTTCAGTGCTGAGCATTTTCAGTTCACTTGTTAACAATTTACAAAGCTGTTGCCTCAGAGGAAAGGTGTACTTGACAGAAAGGTTTATTTTCAGCAATAGATTTTGCTTGGTTGTAGAAGGGGAAGCTTTATAGTCTTTTTCACATGCTTATCTGGTCTTAAGAACAGTATTTATAAGATAATTTATACCTTTTAAAACACATTTTTTGTGTGTTGTTCTTTTCCAAAATGTTGTTATGGACAGTTTCCTAGTACTTCAATTTCTTCCTCTCAGTGCCAGAAGGGATTGCTATGATTAGGAGGCTCAATGACTGACTGGAGTTTTATGCAAAGCAGCTAGGCAAGGGGAACATTATCAGTCACCTTTCTAACCCCTGCCAGGAAAAGTCTGGCACTTCCCTCACTTTGCAATGTCTGCTTTACATTTGGTTGACTAAATGTAAATAACATGCACTTGAGATGGTTAGATATTCTGATTTGCTATGGCTGTGTTCCTTACTTTGTTTCTGATCTGCCATGTTCTCTCCCACTGCAAGCAAGGAGCCAATGTTAATTTTTGAAGCTAAAAAACTTCTGTACTTTGAGTAAAAAGGATAAATAGAACATAGTACTGGTGGATCCTAACAAGAAGTTTGGATTCTTAAAACATTTTTCATAAAAATGTTCTCTCCCTGTGTGCTTCTGCAGTTAATCCTGAGCTGGGATCCATATTCCATAAGGACAACTTGTCTCCCTGGCAAGATCAAATTGGAATTCTCCTTCCAAATGATGCTTATGTCAAAATGAAGTCCTGGAAAGCAGAGACCAGGAATAACTCTCCATGCTTTCTCTTCAGGAACTCTTCTTTTCAGTGTTAATAATTTTGAACGCTGATACACTCCTTTCAAGACAAAGGATGGTGTTTTACGATGTATGGTAGAAAACATATTACAATCTTCTTTGATTTGCTGTTTGTCTATAATGTTGCTGATTGTTGTGTTTTTAGGAAAATAGAATAAAAATCTGAAGAATTAGTGGCAAATTAATGTTTTTTGAGAATTCCTTCAGGGAAGATGACTGGCAGTTTCTGTTTCTCAGATTGATTTTCCCCTGCAATATGGGATGGAGTCTTTGGAATCACTCAAAAGTCTTTTTTTTTTTTTTTTTTTTTTTACAAACTGGCAATTCAAAAAGATTTCCAATTTATTCTTTTTGGATGTACCTTATGTCTCAGTAATACCTATAGAGAACAAACATGATAATTTTCTTATGTGTTTGATCCACCTACTACTAAATTGTTATGAGCGGCTTAGAGCAAGCTTCATTTGAGAGGGTAAAGGTAAGTATTATAACAAAGGCTGTTGCTGTTTATTGCTGTTATTTTTTAGTTGTTTAGTCTGTAAGTATGTCTTTCCTTCTTTCTGGATTTTAACTGCAGGCATTTTGCTCTCTGTTAGATATTTTGTCCTGCACAAATTGACAAACCTGAAGTTTCTTGATACCCGGAAAGTAACCAGGAGGGAGAGAGAGGAAGCCTTGGTAAGAGGTGCTTTCATGAAAGTGGTTAAGCCCAAGGATGCTAAGGTAAGAGAATAAATGGGAGAAGTAAGAACTATGTTATTCTTTAACACTGGTTTAAAATAACTCCCAAACTTGGCTGTGTCTTTTGCTGAAGTAACAGACAAAACCTTTCAAAAGAGAGGACTGGTAAACATGGTGAGATGAGGGACAAAAGCCTTGGTAATTTTTCTGTGGTTTCATACCCAACTTTACTGTTATATCTGTTTAATGGACTATAGTTACATTATCAAATTTCTGGTTTCCAACCTGTTTCATATAACAAAGTAACTAATATGTGTCAGTGAGCTTAAAAGAATATTTTTACCCTGTCTAAAGGTATGTAGCAAC